ACGTACTTACACACCTGTTAATGAGTCTTTCTTGGGTAGATAAAAGATTAAAGTAATCAAAAATGCTTGTATTCATTTAATATTATCTATATAATTTATATTATTTGTTTTTGTATATTAAAAGAGAGTTGCATCTGCCATCAAACTGTCATGCGGTTTGGGTGAAGTATAATATTTCTGTAGCATGTGATTTTATTGATTAAAATATTTTATTTCATATCTCCAATTCTTATCATTGCAACCACTATGTGCCACGATGAAAAATGACAGGGTACAAGTAGTAAACTATAAATTAAAAAAAAAAAAATTGTAAACCTATCACTAATTTGATGGTAATCTTCTATTGAAAGTTTCGCCTAAGCAATGTCACCGGTATGAAGTATTTACTATTGAGTACCAAACAAATGAATATAAAAAGTACTAACAAAACCGCTTCTTATTAAATTGAATGTAATTTTTTTATAGATAGCAATGACTACAATCTGTTTTAATAAAGTTATCGATTCGGCATTTATTTATCTAAATTCAAACATTAATAAAGTAACAACATTATCGGCTGCACATCGAAACAAAATGTCTACCTGATTTCGGAACCTGAACCGTACTGCTGATTAGATCTTATATATGTATAAGCTTTTGCCCGCGTCTTCGTCTGCGTGGTAAGCGACATGAGATGTCGTAGAGGTTACAATGAATCAAGAGATATATATATATATGTATACCTATGATTGTATGCATGTATACCTATGATGATACGCGTGATGCGTGAAGGCTCCGGCGGAGGAAGCAGTTTCCCGGGGCGAAGTGGTGTTAATGGCATCCTTGGACATCACCAACGCGTTCAACACTTTGCCCTTGATCTGCATCATGGAGGCGCTCGTGTATCATCAAGTGCCTCTCTACCTCCGCCGCATAGTCAGGACATACTTGTCGGACAGAGCCTACCCAAGTAGGACAGCGTGCGAAGCGTGAAATGTCGTGCGGTGTTCTGCAAGGTGTTAGGGCTGCTCCTGTGGAACATCGGCTACAACTGGTTGCTTCGCGGTGCCTTCTTAGATGGCGTCACCGTCGCACACCCTCACAAGCGTGTAGTCCGTATAACAATACGGACTACACGCTTGTGAGGGTGTTCGGCAAGACGCACCTTAAAGCAACCCTAAGTGACCAGGGTTGCCCAAGTCATGGAGCAGATACGGCAGCTAGGCCTCGAGGTGGCTCTGCACAAATCCAAGGCCTTGTCCTTTCATGGGCCTCAGAGGTAGCCACCTGAGGGATCCAGCCTAATAGTAGGAGGAACTCGCATCATCGAGGCCTCGATGAGGCATCTGGGGCTCATACTCGATGGCCGGTGGGACTTCGGACATCATTTCCGAGGTCTGGTCCTCCATTTGGTTGAAGCAGCGCGTGCATTGGCGCGGCTGCCACCCAACATGAGGGGACCCGATGACTCCTGCAGGAGACTCTACTCGGGGGTTGAGAAGTGGAATGAACGACTTGGGCAACCGAGCGCTAGGACGTCGTTATCAGACAGTTATAGACCCGGGTGCCGCCACTGCGATGGCCGGACCGTAGACACGACGCTCCACACGCTAGCAGAATGCCCGGCGTGGGTGGAGCAGAGGCGTGACCTCGTGGCGGCCATCGAGGTGTTAGTTCTCTCGCTCGCTCACATGGTGGGGAGCGAGAATGCTTGGAACTCCCCTGTCTCCTTCTGCGAGCAGGTTATGCTTGCAAACGAGATAGCGGATCGAGACCGGGAGAGGTTCAGAACCCTCCCGGCTCGCCAGGCCCGAGAACGGGGCAGGTACCGCAGACAACTCAGGCGCCGCAGGTTGCAGAGCGCAGGGAATAAGCACAGACCTGAGGGTGATAGGTGAGGCCATCTGTCACTCTAGCTGAAGCAGGCCGGGGTGGCTACGGACGACGAGCTACGGAGTGCGCACGCCTTTTGGGGCAGGAAGGGAACATCTGGGTTTGCACACAGGAGGGGTCATCTATAAGCCGTAGACCGGTAGAGGTACGTCGGGGTACCAGGGCTTTCCTTTCTAGCTTCGTGCTATTGAATCTGCCGAGGTTTTGTAGTGCATCAAACATGTTCACGGAGGACCATTGCGATGACTTTTATGCGATCATAATAAAGCGGAGCGCGTCAATGTCCACTCGACTGCTAGGCAGCTCCAATGGCATTCTGAGAGTATTGACCGAGAGGTGGGACCTTCCAGGCCTACAAAGGTGTCATCCCGCATCCCCAAGATTTATATGTAATTTGTTTTTGTTTTAATGTAGAACTAACATTGTTGTAAGATGATTGTTACCAACACATTTATGGACCAATGTCTGAAAATAAATTATGGACGTGGAAGCTTAGCTTTTGATCAAGAGTTGACGGATATATATAGATTTACTTATATTTAAATTACACAAAAGTAGTGATCATGCCCATCACACAATTTCTTATCCTTTATAGAAGAATAAATTTATTTCAAAAGGGTATGTGATACAATAAGTTTTACAGCGGCCGCAGCACTAAGGTCGAAGCTAGTATCGCAGAGGCCAAAGATAGATTTGTCATACAGCTTCACAATTTAATTTCGCCTCGTCGCCTAAATATTGTGTAGAATATAGTAACTAATTTATTCTAAGACAGAACCAAAAATCTTACGGATTTTAATGAGTTTAAGGGATACAAATACATAACTAGGCGATGTGTTTGTAAGTTTAATTTGAGACCTCCGGTTTATTATTATGTTATACTATATTATTATTATATTATTACTCCCTCATTTTTACTATGTTTTGTAACTAATCTTCCTCTCACTCCACTAAGAAAATAAATCCAACAGGTAGAGTAAAACAATTAAATCCTCGATAAACTAACTCGAAAACGTTAAACAGTTTGTCATTAGTACGTGATGTATGCATGTTAGAGTCCATTAGGTAGTCCATTACCAAGGCGCTGGGTACAGGTGTGCAGGGCGTGCAACGCACGAAGGCGGTAATTTCATGGAGGCGGCAAAACAGATATCGAAAGGAAAACGAAACATTATCATATTTTTCATGTCTATATATTTTTATGATGTCATAATAATGACACCTGTTGATCAGTGTACGAAAATAAATGCAAACGTTTGGCAAAGGATTGGCTTGAGAGGAAACACGGGACCCTCTCATACCGGCTGACCCAGGTGATCATCGGATCACCTGTTCTACTACCATGTTCCACAGGTACCCGCGACGTACGGCCTGACGGTAGCTCTAACATCTTCTAAGATATTTATTTTAATTATATATTATAAAAGTCAATTTTAATCTACATTAAATGAACAACGTATCTAATATATTCAATTAGATGACTAATAAGACTATTTTTTATAATAGCTTTGCTTTTTTGTGTTTGTGTGTTTTCTTTGTTTTTTGTGAAATGTGAGAGATAATAATTGTTACTGTGGTTAAGAAGATAAACATATCGATTTAGATCTTTTTACACGCTCACTTGTATGTTTGTTTGTAACCGACTCCTTTGGGCATGATTTTGACTGACTTTAAACGGTCAGAATTCGTTCAAATTAGATATATCATGTAGATATATCGAGGACCGATGACAATGCACTAATTTAAAAAAATAGTTTTAAAAAACTTAAAAACACGTTTTTTATAGAAAACCAAACTAAAAAATAGAAAATAAACTTTAATAAATTTTGAAAAAAAAGCGTTGGGTGCCTGTTGTCAATAGTAAAAAGCACCCTACGCTTTTTTTTTCAAATTTATTATTATTATTTTTTTAATAAACAATGCCGTAGTTCTTTATTTTGATCTATCTCGTGAGCGTAAGCGTTCAAATCTCTACTATAATATGCATGTATTATACATATAAAACTTTAAACACTCTCTCTATTAATGAAAACCGACTGAAAATTGAAATTAAAATAAACGGGACATGCATTGTTCCGTAGCGGTTTGCAATATAATGACAATTTTTATTTGTTATTACTCATCAAAAATTCATAACTTCAAAATTAATTCAAAAAGTAATTTGCACCTAAATATATAGCCTAAATTACTAATTGATTTATTTAGATAAGGATTAATATAATGACACCGATAGAATAACTTTTTGCTTTGATCCATATTTTGGTTGACTAATTTTAACAAAAAATGGTATAGCTAAAGTATAAAATTTAGATATACCTCATCACTGACTTTTTAGTTCGCATTGATAAATACGTTCAAAATAAATCGCATTTTTCATGATGCAGCGCACGCAAAGGAAGCAAATAATTTTGTTTTTTTTTTTTGTTATTGGCTCTGGCTTCAAACAATCGCTATTTTGTTTTTTTTTTTAATTTTAATAATGTTTCCAAACTAAGATATAGCTTATGTTACTCGCTAATAATGTGGATTGCCATAGGTGTTTTTTTTAAATCGGTAAAGTAGTTTCGGTGCCTATCCATGCCAAACCAAAAATCGAATCTTTCTTCTTTATAATATTAGTATAAATTAATTATTTTTGCAAAAAAAAAAAAAACTAAGTTAATTGATGATAATGTAGCTTTCTATAGGTGAAAGAATTTTAAAAATCGGTCCAGTAGTTTCAAGACAGCAAGCACAAGCAAATAAACAAACAAACAAAATATCAAATTTTTCCTCTTTATAATATTAGTATAGATAATGCCAAATTACCTTGATACATACCGACAAAATATAATCACTTCAGATTTATAGTATTGGTATGAGTTATTAATAACATTCAGGCATTATATATAGCTTAAATTGGAAGAATCGTCTTCTTTGTGTGTCGCAACCGCTCACCGTCCGCGCGTGTAGAGCGCGTGAACATTTTAATGTTTCAATCATATCAAATTAATCGCGAATTTAAAACTACAGAAGAAATGTTGAAGATTGATAAGTATACTTTGAACACTGGGTTATTAAAGGAAAACAGGACTTTACTCAAAGTGAGATTATGGTTTTATGGGTTGTCTTTCGTGCATTTACTGACCATGGCAAGTTTACTACTAGCTATTGATTTTAATTCATTTGCTGATCCTGATATACAGATGTACCAAAAAATCAGGTTTAAGCTGATCACTGCTTGGTTTAATGTAAGTCTTATAATTTTTATTATATTATAATTATTAATAGACTCTAAAGTAAAGGAAGCAATAAATGAAGTATACGTATAGACTAGGGTTATAACAGTTTATCGTATTAAGTTAATTTTATTGCGATCGTAATAAATACTAGTACAAAGATGAATATATAAGATTAATAAATATAATAAAATGATTACGATTAATACTGACCTAATTATTTATAAAATTAAGTTGCCTTGTGCGATGAGTCAAGCAGTACTTCATATTTTTGTAATTTAAAATCGCTTATTACTTTTATCTCAATTAATTTATCACTAATGTGTCATAAAGAACAATGGCTAATTCGTTGTTGAGTATAATTTAAGCTTCTTAAAATGTCATTCATAGGAAACTAATTCTAGGAAATATCTACGTTTTTGAATTTATCGTTTAAGTCAGAAAATCCCAGGAAAAGAAAAAGAAATATCGTAAGCTTATTTGATTATTTTAATTTCCTTTATCAGTTTAGTGTAAACATTTTAGATCCATTTTTTCAAATAGTGGCCGTCGGGGTGGTTTTATCCGAGGAGCAGGAGATCCGAAGGGATTTTAAGCCGTATCAACAAAAAAAAAAGTTTAAGAAATTAATATTCATTCATCATCAATTCATAGGTAATTTAACTTTAAAATAAGGAAAAAGAAAATATTCATTGGATATTATATATGCACATGTACATAACTTAAAGATGATTATTTCATGCATCAGACAAATTAAAAGTGAGATAAAAATATAAGCTACGAAAGTTCTACAGCTAGTGGACTAAAATAATTATTTATTATCTTTTTTATTTTATTTAGATGGCACACAGTTATAATTATCAAATAATTATGTAAAGCAATACAAAAACTAATTTGAAAATTCTATAGCCATAGACAAATTGATATTGCATAATGTTTTCTTTATAAAATACTCTTTGAAACAACCCTTTGATCAGAAAAAAATGCGGTGCTTAACTAAAAAAATCTAATGCTAATATCTTTTTTCCTAGCCTTTCCCAAACAAAAATTGTTTTACACATAGATTAAAAGACATTGCGAACTTTTTCATATTTTTTTCACTACAAGACGATGCAATTTGATTTCAAATATTTTTTTGTATGGAGACCCGCCATTGTTGTTTATGTTGTCAGAAAATTCAGGGTTACTAAACACTAGTTTTGTGACCCTGACTGCTAATCCAGAGATCGTGGGTGTCCACCATTTACATACCAATGATTGTGTGATGAACACGACGACATTTTTTCTATCTGAGTGTAATTTAACTATAAAATATATGTATTTAGAAATTATGTTGATTAGCAGCCAGACTGCTTACCATAGCATACTCTCTGCCTAACTTGGAGTTGAAGTTATTATTATTGTTATCTCAGATATTACACTTTACACGTATGTACACATTTTTTATTCAGATATCAGCAAAAACATTAAAAATCATATTTAAAATGTTATACTATTGATTAGATTGTAACTTTGCATACGAGTACTACAACATTTACAATTACAAACTACAATTAGGTTTTATTATTCTTCAAAACCTTGCTTTACTAACTGACTCATGACTGTATTCAAGAAAGGGATTGGTAAGACGTATTAAGAGATTACATTTTCCCGATTATAATTAAGTCCGTTATGTAATAGAGGGCAAGTCTATTGCCGTCAATGGGGTACTTTGGGAAATTTAATTAAATGGGAAAACTGATAATGAAAAAGAATGTTAGGTTAGAAGGAAAGGCAAAGAAAGTAAATGAATGTATCTAGTACGGATAAATAGGCAAATAATACATACATGGTGTGAGATTAGACCATGTGAAACTTTTTTCCCTGATACCTATGAGGTTCTTCTTTTAAAAAATGTGCAACATTCGATTTTCACCTTTCAATTGTTTTTATTACTCAGCTTAGACGTGAAAGACGGATAGTCATTTTTTAATACGTGGCAGAAACGGCTCGCAATATCAACGTTGCGTGTGGAGAGGAGACTGCTAATAAACGCACCGTGGGTTTTTGGTTTAAACGCTTTCGTAATGGAAACTTCGACTTGAAGAAAAAACAGCTGTCGCCCACACAGGTGGATAAGCTGAATTGAAGGAGATCGTGAAAGCCGATCAGAGTCAAACTACCCAGGAATTAGCGGCATGGTTTAACGTTACCCTACCTACAATATTGACTCATTTGCATCAAATCAATAAGATAACAAAATATGAAAAAAATCGGCCAGGTACGAGTCGAACTCGTGCGCCGAAAGTTCCGTACCTACCCAGATTTTACGTAGATTTTCGCGATAATTTGTAAATCAAAAATTTCTCAACTTTTTTAATTTTTGAATTATTCCTTTATTTGTGCTGTAAGACGTTTCTTTTTACCAAATTTCGTGATTCTGGGTCAACTCGAACTACCATATAGGTTTTCGACCCAAAACCTATATTGTACTTCCGGTTGACCTAGAATTGTCAATTTTGGTGAAAAGCAAGGTCTTACGGCACAAGTAAAGAGAAAATGCTGAAAAAGAAAAAAAGTTGAAAATTAAGGTAAAAAAATATAATGGTAACTGTTTGGTGGTCTCTTCATTGTGTTATGCACTATAGCTTTCTCAGGTCTAGTCAGGCGATAACAGCAGATATTTACTGTGCCGACCTTCGAACAATGATAGTAAAACAGGCAGTGAATCAGCCCCGACACGTGAATCGATCTTCACAGGTATTGATCTCCATGATAACGCAAGACCTAACACTGCAAGAGAAACCTTTGTGACTCTACAGGAGCTACAGTTAGAAACCATATGTCATCCTCCGTACTCGCTAGACCTTGCTACGACGGACTACCATTTTTTTCGTGAGTTTTACATTTTTCTGCGTGATAAAAAACAATCTTCCCAGGTGGCAGTACAAAATGCTTTCACGCAGTTTGTCGAATCTAGATCCCAGAGTTTTATCATAGGTGCATAAATGAACTTTCGTTTAGATGGGAGCAATATATAAATAAGAAGGGTTAATATTTTGATTACATAAATACGATACATCTTAGAAAAAAAACGAGTTTCAATTTTAAAGTACAAATCGGCAATTTCATACTTTAACCTCTAATATTACAATAACTCGAGTAGATCTGAGTCGTATACCATGGGAAATCATCACTACTATGCTGTATATGCCTCTTTGTAATCTTCTAGGTGTCATTAAATAGCTACGCTACTCATACTAATAAATCAAATATCATCAAATAATAAAAATGTGATTCTCTAAGGTTATCTTTGTTACGTGATCTCTTTTAGTAAAATAAAACGTGACTGTCATATAAATGCACAGTCAATTTAAGGTCATGATATACCTAAATATTAAACCAGATATGTTTGAGTATTGCAGGGATTTAAATTGCCAGAACACAAACAACTTGAGATGTATACATACATACATTATTTACTTACGCTTACACATTTATTCCAATGAAAGTAGACAGATAGGCAAAAGGGCACTCGAAAAGTAGTTAAGCATTAAAGTCAATAGTGGAAAAATAATAATTTATTATCAAACAAGCCCAATACAGTTTGTCCATCTCATTCAAACACAAACGCATAGTTGTATACAACGTTACGTATTTTTTAGAGACAGAGTGAACGTCAGTGTCTTTGATAGTATTAACTGTGTTACATACACTAGCGCTTTCCTCTTACAATTTATATGACATTAGTTGGTTTAGCATTGAAAAGTAGCTGTTAATTACTTAATCAATACAGTTCACAATTATATAGGTTATAATTCAAAACTAGTAGTAGTAAGCCTTTTAAAAAAACTGTACATATATGTGTGTAAAGGTGTGTGTGTGTGTGTGTGTGTGTGTGGGTGTGTTTGAGAGAGTGTGTGTGTGTGTATCCTGAGCTGCTGTTGTTGCTCAGTCTCACCGTAGGTCAAATAGGTAACCTTGAAGGTAACTATTAACAATACGTTTACATTTTACTTTGGGTAAGGGATATACAATATATTACAAAATTTTGTTGGTAGTGTTGTATAGAATAGGGATAAGGATGCATTGGAGAACTTAAGCAATGGCTCGAGCAACCTGCTCGGTTCGGACCGACCAAGGCTCGCATTCTTAAGGAAGCCGAGAAAATTTGACGACTCGGTTGGGGCCTACAGGCCCATCGTGATGTCGTGTTCGACCGGTACTTGTGCGAGTAGGGCTCCGATCTGTCGGACGCCTAATTGGTGGCTTAATATGACGGAGGATAAAAAAAATGCATTGTATCAATACTTTTTTTCACAAAATTTACATACATACATATTATTATTTTTATACTGTTAGTTATTTATTTATTTATTTATTTATTTATTGGATCTCCAACAAAGGATATACACAGAAGTACATATAATACACACTTAGTTTTTTGAATAGTGTACTCCTTCAGTTATAGGAGACCACAGCATGCAATAGAATATCCAAACTTATACCTAATACAAAACTAATTCAAAAGTAACATAGTGAGAAAACCTCCTAAATAACATTAAATATGACAAAATATTAAATTTTTTTCTTTCTTTCTGTCTGAATACAAATAAACAGACAAACTTTAAAATTAAAAAAAAAGAAAAACAACAATAAATGAGAACCTTAAAGAATTTTTTGCAAGTGTCTTTTAAATCGGGGCAAGGATTCGCAAATATCGATTTCATGAGCTTTTGATAAAGTGTTGTACAGCCTACAAATCCTCGGCACAGCAGCGTAATGACCCAGATTAGTTCTCGAAAATGGAATTTCAAATAAATTATAATTGCTTTTTCTTGGAAGACGCAAAGGTATTTTTATGCTTAAGGCGCTTAGTAACTCACTACAGTCCGTGGAACCACTTAGTATTTTATGTAGAAATATGGAATCAAGTTTCATTCTGCGGCTCGCTAAGGTTTTTAAATTATAACGCGTTAACCGTGATGTATAACTTAAAGTTTCTTTTGCTAAATGGTCTCCATAGCATAAAT